AATTCGATTAAATAAATTCCTCAAGCTTAAATATCTAGCTAATGTATCTTTTTTAAACTTTAACAATATTTAAAAGGTAACAATTTTGAGTGTAAGAAATTACAGACAAATAATTTTTCGATGCAAAAATAATTCAAATATTAATCAAGTTACTCCAATGCCAGAAACTTCAATGCCGGATAGAACTATACAATATATTAAATAATTATTATTTGACAATATTTTAGCTATTTTAAAATTATAATTTAACTTTTCGTGTCTAAATTGTTTATTTCAAAATTAAATAAAAATTAAATAATAAAATTTTAATGTAAAGTTGCGTGCCATTTTCAAAAAAATCCCTCGTATTTTAACATTTATTAAATAATTATTAGCAATTAAAAAGAGCTAGGTTCTGAACATTTTAAACTTGCCCTTTCCGTAGCAACACATGAAGCGGGGTACTTTATGGATATGTCACCCCCCTCCTATTTTGAGTCTCAGAGTTTTCCTTAAACGTAGAAAATGGTCAGAGATTATTTTCTTCTCCATGTCAATCATTTTTTTCCTCTTCAAGTATTTCGCTTGTTTATTTTGCCTTTTCACATATTTTGTACTTACATTTCACTCATTTCGTTTCTACATTTACCACATTTCACTTATTTTGCTTGAACAAAGGAAAATGATTGACATGGAGAAGGAAATAATCTCTGACCATTTTCTACGTTTAAGGAAAACTCTGAGACTCAAAATAGGAGGGGGGTGACATATCCATAAAGTACCTGAAGCGGTCACTAGTTAAGCTTTAGTTGGTGTTATTCGACTCAGCTCATCAAGCTTTTTATGAGCTATTATTTGCATATTCAATTTTTTCACCCCAAAATAAGCTTATTCCCACATTTTGGAAAAGCTCATTTGTTCGAATAGAAAATCCGAATTTTACTTTAAAAATAATAAACTTTGATAGATGATTATAAATAATTTATTAATTAAAACATTTCTCTTAAAAAATTTTTTTTCATAAAAGAAAGGTTATTACGTCTAGCAATTAAACTTTAAAAGTTAATTGTAAACAATAATTATAACAGATAAATTACAAGCTTAAACAGAATGTTAGATATTTTTTGAATTAATTTTTTTAAAAGTTAAAACATCTGTTATAGTTTTAAATAAATTTTTGCGAATTTTTCCTTTTTTCTTATTTAGTTAAAAAATTTTTTAAAGTTTTTTGAAAATATTTTAAGTCAAAACCTCCCAAAATACCTAATAAAATGCTTAGTTTTAACTTATTAAATTAAATGAGCCTGAGCTATATTTTGGCAAATTCTATAGACTTTCTAATTGGCCCGAAAAAATTTTTTTATTCAAGCTATAAGGTGCTCAAATATTTGTTTGAAGCCCTCTTCCCGTTGATATTAGGATTTTAGATATTAACGAAGACATTTTGTAGGAATTAAAAAACATTTTTTAAGAAGAAAAAACCTAAAAATGTTAATAGGAGAAATATATTCAACAATAATTTATTGTTTTGCTACATTTGGATTGTTTTCTAATTTGTTTTTAATTTGGCTAATTTTACGTTATACAATGAAAGAAATGCAAGTTTATAGCAAAATACTTTTACAAACTTGTTTTGTTGATATTGTTGGGATTTGTATGTTTGTTGTTTCTCAACCGGTAAATAAATATTTGGGCGCGGGAATGTTTTGGCGTGATTGTCTATGACTTTTTTTAATTTATGTGTTTCTGAGCACAAATAGGACATTTATCTTTAAGAATTAATTTGTCTTATTAAAAATAGGTTTTTGTAGCTGATAATGGTATCGGCACAACTTGGAATTACGGACCTATACATTTATTACCAAATCCTTGGCAATGTATTCTCCTCCGTCTCAATCACTTTATGACAAGATTCACGTCAATGAATGTCTCTACACTATTTATTTATCGTTATTTTACTGTTGTACGGTAAACTCTTCTGAAATATTTAAAAAAATACTACAAAGTTCTAGCTTATTGAGTTCTCGATTCCTTTGTTGGCCACGAGACACGTTACTTAAACTTATATAAGATATACATATAATGACACGGATCATCGTGAAAACACCCAATTACTCCCTTGTAACGAACACACAAAGGAAGATTCCCGAACTAAGCTACTCATTATCTAATTATCAAATAAAATAAAGCTCAAATAGAATAATCTAAATCAGCTTAACATACATATTTAAAATAACATATAATATTTCAAAAACTTTTTTATGTAGCGGAGTTGACATTAAATTTAAACACCAATTATTATTAATTTTTGTTGTAATGCTACCTAATATTGGATTGAATGTTTGCGCATATTTTTCAAACTGTCCAAGTCCAGAAAATGAATATTTAAAAAATCTTGAGTTGGCAAAAATGTTAGGATTGGATAATTACACAATTGAAAATTATGTTGTTGGACTAAGATCAAGAGTAAGTCAAAATCATTTTTAAACTATTTGGCAAACGTCTCGAGACGGATTAAACTAAAAACATTAATGTAAGAGAAGTATTCAGTAGAGTATAAAATCAGAAAAAAATTAATTGATATTTAATTAATCATGTTCTTTTAAGCCACTACTCTATAAAAATATTGTAATGATTCTATTTATAACCTCTCACTGAAAGTCATTCCCTAGGAGAATGTTAAGAAAAGGCCTGTGAGAGCTTTATATCAAGAGTACTTTATAATAATAAAAATTATATTATTATAGACTAATGAACTATCAAATTTTACTGCAACTTACGCTTCAACATTGGCTATAGCAAACTACGTTATAATTATTTTTTGTGGTATAAAAATTCAAATTTGTGTTTATCGTCATTGTAAAGGTGTAGAAATGACTCAATTACGTAATATGAATAAACAAATGAGTATTGTTTTGGGGGCACAGGTATGGAACGATAATATACATATACTGAGGCTAGAATATAGACATTTAGAGGGGAAAGACATGAGACTGATGTCAGGGATGGGTCATGTTATACAATACCCGGTTTTTTCGACCCGACCTGACTTCTTTCTCAACTTAGCCCCACATTCCTGCATAGTGGGCGTTATGGAGAGATTGCTACCTTTAATTAGTTAAGAGTAAACACTTTTAAATTAAAAAGTCAGCAAAACAAAAATTTAAATTTATTATTTTAGGCTCTTTTACCTCTAATAACTTTTCTCAGCCAAATATACAATAATATCGATGCTTTAATTAATTTACCCGTTATATATTCTTCATATATTGGAACATTTTTGCCTAGTTCTTTGGCATCTTTAATTGCTGTTTTAAATCCTATTGTGAGTTTATTTATTATCCTTAAACTTTAAAAAAATAAATTTAAAAGGTAACAATTTTGAGTGTAAGAAATTACAGACAAATAATTTTTCGATGCAAAAATAATTCAAATATTAATCAAGTTGCTCCAATGCCAGAAACTTCAATGCCGGATAGAACTATACAATATATTAGCTAGAGTATCGTTTATCAATAAAACAATAATATTTTTTATTTCTAAAATAACGTGATAATAAAAGTGTTTAAACTGTGCTTGTGAACCTTTTTTCTTCTCGATTTTCATACCCCTGAAATCGAAAACCATAGGGGCGACCAAGCTGATTTTTGGAGCTCATTAAGCTTAATTAACAAAAAAAATTTGGCAAAAGTTTGACAATCCTTCCTATCACCAAAAATTCTGTTCGTCACATTTTCAAAAATGTAAAAAACTTCTCATTTGTCAAAAACATTTATGTAAATTAAATTAGTAATACATATGTATATACAATTTTCTAACAGAAAAATAAAATTTTTAATTTTTAAAGATTTAAAGAGCCATTCAATAATTGAGGCATTTCTTTTTTATTTTCCTCTCCCTCATTTCCATTTTCAATATCCAACCTTTCCATTTTATTAATAATAATTAACGGATTTAATTCTAAATTGTTGTTGTTTGTAGATGGTTGTTGGTCTAAATTAATTTGTTGTTGTTGTTGGTTGTTTAAATGTTCTCTACTGTGGGAACGGACTGGAGAAGCTGTGACACTGCCTTCTGGCAATCTAGAAATTTAAGAAAATTATTTAAAGATTCTAAAAATATTTTTAGAATAATTTTTTTCAAAAAAACCGACGAAGATTTCCTTCGATGTCTCCTCCCTGGATGTTCTAACAACGAATCGTTTTCAATGACTGGTTCGCGAAATGGATTTCTATAATATAAAATATTATTAATTTTTTCTCAATTTTTAATTAAAATTTATTTCCAATTTTGATAGACCATAAATTTAATTTTTTCATTTGTCTTTTTATCAGGAAAAAATAAAAAAATAAAAATTACCCAAAATGCTTTTTCCTTCCCATAGCCTAAATAAATAAAATTAATTTTTTAATTTATTTAAATTTTAACACTTGCTCACCTTCACAAGAATTAAAGTTCCAAGATGAGGAATGATACGAACAGCTTGATTAACCTCCTCTTGAGTAACTGGAAAAATTTAAAAAATTGTTTGAAAAAAAATTTTTTTAATTTACCAGTAACTAAAGAACAATTTTCTTCTTCAGTGGGCATTAAAACTTTTCCCTTAAAAAATTTAAAAAAAATTAATTTTTAAAAATTAAATTAATTATACATTTTTAGTAACCCATAAATGCTCTTTTATCTATAAATAATTTTTGAAAACTTTATTAATTAAAAAATAAAATATTTGCCTGCATAATGTCATATCTCAATCCTGGGTCTTTACATAACATTCTAAAATTAAAAGAAAATAATTTTTCCAGAAAAGTTTATTTTATTTAAATTTTATATTAAATTAAACAAACTTTTTCCGGAAGATTTGTTTAACATTTAAATTCTTCCCGGAAAGTTTTTAGGCTTATTTTCCAGTTAAGAGTTATTGAGGAAATATTAAATTTTTCCGGAATTTTATTTTTTTCCGGAAAGGTTTATTTAACTTTATAAATTTTAAGTTTCCTTTAAATTTTTTAATTAATTTATACCTACCCAAGTATTAACCCTTTGAGAGGGTCACTAATTGGTATATTCTCTGGAAGGGTTACTGGATCATTTTTTATTTTTTTGTAGAGAGCTATTAAAATAATATTTAAATTTAATTAATAAATAAAATATTCTATTTTACCAATAACATAAGGGTCATACCAAGGCACATTTCCAAAAACAAGGGCATATAATGTAATACTGCAAATAATTTAATTTAAATGAAATAATTCTGGAGAGAATTTAAATAAAATTTCTAACAAATAAATAATTTCAAAAAATGAGTGGAGTATTTCTAATAATACTTTTTTAGGATTGCACCCCAAACGCTCGGGGGCGGTTATGTCGGGGGACGGGGTTTTCGAATTGTTTCGGGGCGAGGTTCGGGTCGGGAAAATTTTGAAAAAATCTTTCGTGAACGGAAGTCGGGGTTCGGGGTGCAACTCTACTTTTATTCTTAACAAGCCTCACTTACCCAAGCGACCAAATATCCTGAGCACGTCCGCTGTAAAACTGATTTGAGTTTTCTGAGAGTGCCTCCGGGGCCATAAATGCTGGGGTACCTTTTGGAAATTTAATTTTATTTTAATTTTTAATTTAATTTTCACCAGCAGTCCCAGTCAAAAAAGCATCAATTCCTTCAAATTCGCAAGAAACACCAAAATCGGCAATCTTTTAAAATTAATTTTAAATTTTTTAAAATTATTCACCTTAACAGAATTTGACTCTGATAGAAGTAAATTTGAGGGCTAAAAATTAAAAAGAATTTCTAATTAAAAAAAATTTTTTTTACTTTGAGATCGCGATGTACAATTTTTTGATAGTGGACTAAAAATAAATAAAATTAAAACAAATTTTAATTTTTTTTATATTTTTAAAACTGTGGTGATGTTTAGGCGCAAGCTTGGGCAATTTTTTATCTCTATAATTTGGTTCCTTAAATTTTATAAGGACATTACTCTTCAAACTCTTCAAAGTGTTAGCTAACTTCTCTAAAAATTTTTAGAATTTTTTGGCTAATACATAACTAAAATTATGCCCAAATATTAACATAAAACTGACTAATTTTTCTTCTAAAATAGTTACATTTTAGACCTTTCTGAAATATAAACAGAAATTCTGAAATTTTGATTTCATTAGTTATCACAAAAATCTCTCTGAAAAATTTCATAAATATATGTAAGTATCATTAGAGAATTTTACAAGCGCTAACAAAAGACAATTGCCCGTTTGTTTTTTTAATTAATTAATTTTTAAAAATATAATTTTCAGGTTTTTATGTTCAACGATCATTTCTCATAATTTAAAAAGTATTTTTTAATATTAAAAATTTTAATTACGGTATTCCAATCCTTTAAGTGTATCTCTAAAATATTTCCAAGCTAATTGTTCATTCAACGGGTTTTGAGTAGGCAATTCCATTAAAGAACGCCTTTCCATATATTCGAAGACCATATAGAGAAAATTATCCTTTAAAATAATTTTTTGGAAAATTAAAATATTTAAGAGCTTCGGAGGCTGTGATAAAATGTCAGCTTGAGGAAATTAAGAGACAAAATGTTGTTAAATTAGATTATATTTTGAATTAATTGTATTTTAAACCTAATAAAAGACAAAACTCTTAATCGGGTTTTGAAACTTCTTAATCTTAATTTTTAAAGATTTTGGGAACAAATGTTTATGAGACCAAATGCCAATTTAAAAATATGTTATGATAAATAAAAAGTAAGAAATCATTTGAATTTCTACCTGAGGATCGTCAAGTACCTTAAAAATTAAATTATTAAATAAACATAAATTATTTAATTCTTTTTAATACCTCCACTAATTTAACAACATTTGGATGTGCAAGTTTCTTTAATATGGCAATTTCTCGTTGCACTAATTGTAAAGGGTTTCTGTGTACAGATAATGACTGTTGGGAGGTTGGAGGATTGTTTTGAGTACTTCCTCCACGCTTTCGGAGAGGTGGGGGACGAAAACAGGCAAAGTTTTTGACCAACTAAAAAATATGAAAATTTAATTTTATTAAGAACATCATGGGGGAGTGGGAAAAATATTCACCATAGGGTTTATTAAGGCTGGGTCTAGCGATTTTCACAAATTTTGATTCTCGAAAATCGGAAATTCTCGAAGCTTTTGGACGGGAATCCGACATGATTCAAAAGACTGTAAGCTTTATTTGATAGTGTAATGAATATCATCAACACGCAAGTGGCACTAATGTGAAAAGGGCACCATTAGTGTGTAAGGAACATAATGGAGACATCCTTTGTGGTACGAATCTTTAGTAATGTGAAGTGAAGTAATATTACGGCATCGTTCAAATTTTACATAATTCCTTAATTATAAATCAAAATTTTTATTCACCTTCAATTTATCAAGCACCTTCAACGCATACAAATTTCGATCCTGCTCGTTATATGCCAATTTGACAATACTGTAAGAGCCCTGGGCAATCTCCTCCATAAGCTTGTACTGATTTAATTGAATGTAGTCACTACTACCATCTTGAGTGTCAACAACGTTTGTCTGAAATTCGAATTTGTGATCTGGGACTTCAAAAAATTAAATTTACCATTTGTATTACATTTGTACATTGCGTAGGAGAACAAAATCTCATCTATAAAAAATTAATAACAATCAAATATTTCGAATAAATTAAAAGAAAATCTCTAGTAGTACGGGAAAAATATCCAAAGTAAAAGGAGATAGTGTGAAGGGAACAAAGGGAATGTGAATGGAACTATTAAGATTTTGAATTTTAGGCCACCATTTCCTGTAGGAAAGGCATGGATTTTAGGAATTGTTCAAATAAAATATTTTGATAGATGGGTTAGCACTTAACATTACGAAGTTCCAGTAGGTGAAGGTGAACTGATATTAAGGAGATACCCAGGAAATGTGTATAGAGACCCAAAGTAATGCAAAAGGAACAACTCTAGTAGAGTGAGAAGAACGAATATTTTTGTATAGTTCTTCGAAGGCTATAACACAAAAAAATATTGCCAATAAAAATATATGGAAGTAAAAATAAAGGTTTTTTGTTTATCCATATTTGCACTCAACCTCGAGCTGCTCTTATTCAAAAATAAATAAATAAAAATACAAAACACGTGTGTGTAATATGCTTTTCATTTAATTTTCCCCCTCTTTTCCCTTATTTGTCGGCTGTTTTTCCAATTTTCGTAGAATAGGGATTATAGCTTTTAAGGGGTATTTGTGTGGGTTTTAAGTGTTTACAAGGGTTTTTGACGGTTTTGAATTGACCTAACTCAATTTTAATGTTTTTTCAATTTCGTAGTCCAATAGGCAGGGAAGGTTTGGCGCGGTAATTTGGGGACGCTTTGCTAATTATGGAATATTAAAAAGTGAGTGATGAAAGAGCTCCAATCAGATGTTGAAAAAGAGAGACTAGAAATTCTAGCTGGGACGAGAAAGACAGAATGGAATCTAAGAATTTTGTTTTTGAGATGGTAGTAGGAATGCCCACTCTAAACAAAAATTAGCTTGATTTCAGTGCTAAGGACGAAGCCCTAAATTAATTTCTTATTAGTATTTTAGGAATATTTTCTAAAATTCAGGAATATTTGTAAAAAAAGGTGAATGAGCCACAGAATGGAATTAAGGATTTTGAACTTCGCCGGGCCAAGGTACATCGATTTGTCTGTCCCAGAATGTCTGTACGTTCAATCCTTCCGAATATTTACACTCAAAACGTTACAGCGTCGAAACGTGCCAGTCCAATTGACTGGAGGTATACTTACTTATTCCTTCTTTTAATCTCCATCTTTTTTGGCCCAAAATTTTGGACATTTTCTTCTCGTTTTATAAACAAACCCTTCTTCCCTCCCCCTCCCTTTTTAAACGATTCCAAAAAGCCTTTAAAAATCCTCTTATTGCTACCTCTCTTATTTTCCCCAAGGATGTGTAAGTATCCAATTTCATAGCTCTTAAGGGATGGAAGGGTATATCGGTAGTGAATTTGTGTATTTTTTAAAAGGAATAATGCCAAAGAAAATAGGAAAATTTTAGGGATTTTTTTTGGGTTTTTGAGTGAGTGCCAAAAATGGAATTTTTAGGTGGAATTAGGCCAATTTTTTAGGTTTTATAAAGGAAAGAATATTTAAATAGATTAATAATAAAAATTAAATATTGGTAGTGTGTAAGGAACACCCACAGTAGTGTGAAGGGAACTTCGCTGGATCAAGACCTTTCTAGAGGAGTGTTTTAGCCTTAGTCCGACACACTATTGAATGAATTATCCGGATCAAAGCACTTTCTCTTTAACTTGGGGTTAAGTCTTGGACTCGAGTCTGGAAAATTATCGATGCAAACGCCAGTATTAGATCAGGGAAGGTTGGATACAATAAGGTGTATATTAAATAGGGGTATCTCTTTGGCAGCTCTTTCTCCCTACCTTCCATACCCAGTATGTTAGTATTGTATTGGGTATTTAATCAAGTATTCATTCAAGATTAACCCCGATTTAACCCCAACAGAGAAAACGAAAGAGAAAATCGAAGTAAATTTTAATGTAATTTAAAACACCTCATTCTGTCCAAGACAAGAAGTAGCAGGCCTATCTCGCTGAGTTCCACCTGTGGTAGAAGTACCAGGTTCACCATTATCAAAGGCAGATGCTCGACTTAGCTTTCTACCTCGCCGATTCTTTAAAGAAATTTTTTCCGAAAAATATTATGTATCTACTACCTGTGTAGTATCAGAGGATTGCCTAACCATTGGATGTGATACATTCAAAAAATTGTTAGTAGCCGAATAACTAGGTGATTGGCAACAATCAACTACAGCAACATTACTATTCTCAACAATATTTTTATTTTCATTAATATCGTTTTCTTTGAGGTTTATGCTGCAATTTATGCTCATTCCCTACAAAAATATTTTTTGGAAAAATTTTTGTGTCCACGAAATATAGGTTTTTGATTATTTTTTAATCAAAAAATATCAAAAAACATCAATTTTCTACATACAAACACGTGCTTTTTCCTTTCATTTTTATTTCTTTTAACGATTACCCCCCTCAGACATAAAGCTTCTTTCTCTTTCTATTAAATAAGGAAGTATGGCCAAAATTTTTAAGGTGACTGGCTAGAAAGGAAAAAAAAATGGGAAAGAATAGGAAAAAAATAAAAAGAATATTTAAATGGCTTTAGAGGGGCGCGTGAATTTTTAAAAATTGAAAAAGAAGTTTTGACTAAAAATGCTAATTATTTTAGTACCTTGTTCATATCCTTAGTTTTTTTTTCTCAAACACCCCCCCCCCCCATCTAAGTCTTGAATGATTTTCCTTTTTTACTGTCAATCATTCTTTCCTAAAAGGCAAGTTAGAAGGAGCTAAATTAGAAAGGAGATCATCATCATGTTTTTAGTTAAGATATTTTTTAAATTTATTAATAGAAAATGAATTATAATCAATCCAACGAGATTTTGCCAATCTCTGGAGATCGGCAAAATGGTCAATATTTTGAGAAAAATATTTAATTCTACAAGTAAATGAGATGAAAAAATCGTGATTGGACAAATTTTGACATAAATTAAACCTATGGGAAAGCGGGGTTATTGTTAGTCTTTTTCTTAGATGTTTAATGTTAAAATAAGAATTTTTAATAGGTTTTCTAAACTATTGGACATTTTGAAAAAAATTTAAAATTAACTTAAAAATTTTATTTTAAAATATTTTTTAACAATGAAAGAATCACATCTTTCCTTATATTTTTTAAAATATATTTTCTTTTAAAAAAATCTAATTTTCAACAAACAATTTTCCCTTTTTCCTTTATTAACTACATTTTTTTATTGTTGTAAAGCTTCTTTCCCACTTCCTTGTAAAGAGGGGGGGGGGATTTTTGTGGGATTCCCTTTTATTATTTCTAAGCAATCATAGGTATTTTAACAAAAATAAATTGAAAGGAAAAATTGTTGAAATTGGCCAAATAAAAGAAAAAAAGTTAAATGTGAGAAAAGGTATTAAAATAGAAATAATTATAGTAAAGGTACGTACTATTGGGTATTGTACCTTATCTCCCCACAAGTCTTCTACTTATTAAGAAATTAAGTTAGGCATCGAAAAGAGAGTTAACCCGGACTTGGCTCTTCGGGCCAGTTCTTAACTGAAAACTCTAACCGAAAAACAAATTAAATGATTAGGAAATAATCCCTGAATATTTTAGGAGCAGGCCAAGATACCCGCAGAGCTATAAGTTTATTCTAATTGATGCCCCTCTCTAATTCCGGTGTTCCTCCTTATAATTTTAAAGATAATGTGATTATAAAAATTCTAAATTTAAAAATTTTTTATAAAATTCTCGTTCAAAATTTTAAAGAAAAAAAAATATAAAATTTTGGTATCTGGCACTAACCATTAAATATATGTACAATTAAATAATATTATATAATAAAGAGTGTTTAACAAGCAAGAAGGCAAGGCAATTTTCCTCATAAAAATGTGTTGGTTGGTTTTATATTTTTATTTGGTCATTGAAGGTTTAAAAAAGGGAGTGAGGGAAAAAAGAGAAAAAAAATAGTTAAAGCAATCAATTTATAAAGGTAAAATAATGTCGCTAGAATGGCCAATGAAGCGCATAAATGAAGGCAAAAAATATTTTAAAACGGCTTTATGAGGGCTTTACTATTTAGTATTGAAACCTTATATAAAATAACCTTTTAAAGGTGCCAAATTGAGGAGAATAAAGAAAGAATGTAAAGAAAAGGAAAGAAGAAAACGAGGTAACATAGGGGGGAGGTAAAGCTTAAAGATGGTCCTTTGTGCGCCTGGAAGTTTGGGCGCGCGTTTCAAAATTGAGACTTGGGCGGAACTTTAAATTTTGAAGTTTTTTCAAATTTCTGTTACGTCCTTGGCCATCTTTCCAGAAATTTCAGAATTTTTTCAAATATTTACAAGGCATAGAAAATTAGGTGCTTTTGAGAAATTAGAAAAATTAGGCATTTTTGGGTAGTCCACACATTTTTGGCCATAATTTCTGAAATATAGGACCAAAAATTCTGAAATTTTTGGAGAACGTAGATACACTTACGAGGATTATTTATACAAAATTTTATATTTTTATATAATCAATTAACAATTTTATAAGCTCGCGCCCTAACAACCCACTCCCAAATAGACCAATAACTGCTAGAAAAGAAGAATTTTTTTATTTTTTTTTCTTGTGCCAGCCGACAAACTAGCAGAGCAAGAAAGAAAAGAAAATACATACTAACAAATAGAGAATAGCTTTATTTGTTGGATAAGGAAGTCGTCGTGGTAGCAGGCGAAAGAACAAATCCATTATAGAATGATGGGAAAATGAGGGGGAATAGGCTACTAGCTAGCTAGCTAAAGTGTAGATATGGAGGGATTTTTGTGGGAAAAATATATTGCCTTTAATAAATTATTTAAAATATTTAAGTGAGAAAATGATAATAATATAGATAAAATACCAGACATTTTTTTTTGAAAATTTTTTTGTTATTGATTTGTAAATATCATCGAGTTCTATTCAGAGGAAAGCAGTGCTCGACAATTGCGAATAGGTATTTTAGGATGACTCCAATTCTCCAACTCCAATGGCTCCAAGCTCCAATTCTTCAATCCAAACCCAACCTACAATTTAAAGTTGATCCGAAAATTCAGCATGAACTGAAAAATCCTACTTTATAAGATATATCAAAAATCATAAGCTTCAATTTTGCAGTTCCTTCCACCTAATAGCAGACCAAATTAAAAAAAAACCCAATCTATATTTTATAAAAAAGTATTTATTAAACTTTAAAGATTTTTTAAGTGAAACAAAACAGAAAAATCAAACGAAACGTTTCATACACGTCTAATAGAAACAGTCTCACCCCAACTCCAAAAACGTTTTTAATTTTGTGTTCTACTAAATACATATAATAAAGATATATTTAGAAAACATTTTAGAAAAAATTAGTATTTTTGTTTTTAGTCAAAAAAGTTATACATAAAATCAAAAAAGAGATTTTTTTAAATTAACGAGAGAATCATTTCTTTAATTTGTCAATTCGTGCATTGCAGACTTTAAAATTCTAAAAGCCAATTTTGGAAAAATTTTTTCAACTTCTTCCCATTCTTTAGTTTTTAAAAAGAATTCTTTATTGTCTCGAATATAATTTTTACATCCCTTTAAAATTAAATTTTAGATTTAATAACTAATTAATTTTTATACCCTCTCCAAAATCGGAGCATCATATACATTAATTATTTTGAAATATTTCAAAATATTTTTGGTATCTGAAAAATAAATGGAAAACTTTTTTTTATTTTTGATATTTTTAGGGAGAAACATTCAAGGTTATTCCTCAGCTACAAAATAAAAAAACAGGGTAGATGGGGATTTTCTAACAAAATTCCAAAAATGTTGGGGGCAAGTTGCCTCATCAATTTGTACGGATATTTTGAAGATATGGCCATCATATCAATATCCGCCCGATCCCCGGATATATCCGTATCTGAGCATGCCCGTTCTTATTAGTGAACTATGTAGATGTTTATATTCTTGATTGTGTCTAAGTAAAATGGATTTAAGTACCCGTAGGTGCATTAAAATTTTATTCGTAGGAGTTTAAGTGAAGTCATACTGGAAAAAACTATAGCCGCACTTTTGAAAACTATAACTTATGAAGGAGTTACCCAAACAACATCAAATTTTGTTGAAAAATGTAAAAAACAGGTAGGAAAATAATGGTATTTAAATATTCTCAAAATTTAAAAAACAAAAAACAAAAATTTTAAAAATTCAAAAATACGCGTAATTTTTACTGGAAAAAACTATAGCCGCACTTGTATTTTCGACCTTAGGAGTGGTCCGAAAAATCTACAAAAATTCCTGTAAACATATCTATTGATATCTTTAGAAAATACAAAAGAAATGAAGTTCTTATATAATTCCTTCATTGAGATCTGAAAACCCGAAAATCAACGGAAAACAGGGGGTAGACGTCTTTAAAAAATATTTTCGACCCCTTACAGGTAAAATAAAAATTTTATTTTGGGCTTATTTGAAAGCCCTTGAAATTTGCTACAAGAAGGTTTTTATCTCATAATCCAGAAAAAATTCATCTTTGAGAAATAATGAGTTTAGTTTATATGTTACATTTTTATCGCTTTTTGGGGAGCGTTTGAGTGATTCTAATGACCTGAAAGTTTATCACATTATGTCTTAAAGGTGAATTTTTTTCGGAAAATAAAATTGACGCTATCTTGTAGCAAATTTCAAGGGCTTTCAAATAAGCCCAAAATAAAATTTTTATCTTACCTGTAAGGGGTCGAAAATATTTTTTAAAGACGTCTACCCCCTGTTTTCCGTTGATTTTCGGGTTTTCAGATCTCAATGAAGGAATTATATAAGAACTTCATTTCTTTTGTATTTTCTAAAGATATCAATAGATATGTTTACAGGAATTTTTGTAGATTTTTCGGACCACTCCTAAGGTCGAAAATACAAGCGCGGCTATAGTTTTTTCCAGTAAAAATTACGCGTATTTTTGAATTTTTAAAATTTTTGTTTTTTGTTTTTGAAATTTTGAGAATATTTAAATACCATTATTTTCCTACCTGTTTTTTACATTTTTCAACAAAATTTGATGTTGTTTGGGTAACTCCTTCATAAGTTATAGAGTTTTCAAAAGTGCGGCTATAGTTTTTTCCAGCACTGTATTCATCCGAAAATTCTAAATTTCTTACTTATAAATGTTGACATAACTATTTCACATTTATATATTAATCGTGCAACTCGATATTCATGCGCAATAACAAAAATTTCTTCAAGCTGACTTTCCGTCAAATCTCAAAATCAAAGAAAATTAAAATTGTTAATTTAAAAGAAAAACTTTTTTCAAGTTCGCCAGTGTAGAAAAATTGTAACATTTTTTGAACACTTTGTGAGGTATAATTAGATATTGTCAACTCATTCTTTAAAAAAGTTACTTACTTTTTAAAATTAACTCAAAATATATTTCCTATTTTATATAAAAAAAATTAAAATTGTTAGTTTCATTCGATGCGCTATAACAGTTGTCCCATTAAATTGCCTTCTACATAATTGTGGAAAATTCTAGACAGTGAATTTATTAACTGAAATCCCGGATTTTCAATACGTTTTTTCGTTAAATTAACCAAAACGCTGGTTTTCGATTCGGTCAACCAACCGTCAACAATTCTATTATCGTTATATATGTACATACATCTCGTTATAATAAGAGGTGTCAGTGATTTTTCTTGGGATATCTCCGCTCAGCTTTTTGCGGAGATTTTTTTGGAGATTTCTGTTGCCATTTAAGTTACAAGAAAAATTCCCGCGAATCCATTACTCATTTATAGGGTTAAACCAAGGATTTTTCTGTTCGATTTCGGATATCCGAAGAATTTCCAGGAACCGACAACTCCACTCATTTACAATTTCCCTCAAATTACAATAAATAAATTACAATTTCTTCAGTCATATTCTTCTCCTTCTCCTGAAACATTGCATAAAATACTTTACTGTTTTTTGCTAAAATAAAACGATGTGCTTTCATAACATTCTTGTCTACCTTTAAAAATAATAAAATTTATTTTCTTAAAAGATTTCTAGAAACACACTTTAATTAAAAAATCTGTAAGTATTTCGTCTTCAAAAAAATTGCTGTAATTAATATCAAAACTGTCTTCTGAAGTAAAAGTGTCAAATTTAACTTCACAATGAAGATATAAAGAGCCTGAAAAAATATTTTTACATACATAGTTTTGGGAAAGGATTTTCAGTTTTGGGAAAGGAAAATATATGTAATAACTTAAAGCCGGATCAGACCTTCTTAAAGTCTCGGGATCAGAGCTGTCCGCAATCGAAAAAATTAAGAAATTCCATTTGTACCTTCTTAGTTTAACGGCAGAAATCATACTTCAAATCTAACCCAGTTTCAACCGTAGTTTCCACACCCCTTTATATTTTTGGCTAAAAAGTTGCTTTCAGGTTGGTTTCTTATTAGGTTATATGTATTTTAACTAGAGATGGGTAAAATTGTTTTTTCTAAAAACTCTTGATGGACAGAAAAGGACAATCCTCGCAAGATTTCACGCGGAACCCTCCCTAGCCAAATTTAACATATACATACCATCAGAATGGCATAAGTGGTTTAAGTTGTTAATTAAAGCATATCCCAACATATCCTGATTTTCAGATTTATTTGAAGATCTTAAAATATTATTTAAAATAAAAAACAATTTTTTCTAAACTTGGAAATATATATTCTCTCATTTTCATCCTTCACTGAGTAAATTTTATATTGAGTATTTACAAGCCTCCCAATACCGTTTGGGCCTGTTTGACGAAGCCAGATAGTAAGATTGGGATTGGGATTTCGCCAATCCTTCTTTCCAATCTCAAAGTATAATTCCCAAAAAACATTGGGAAGCTCTCGACAATTAAATTTGTTACCTAAAAATTTTTTTTTAAATTTAAACAAAATAGTTTTTATTAGAAAAAGGCTCGTAAAAATCAAAAATCGAGTGATTATAAACTGTGAAAAGGTTGTGATTAAAAAATGTCATGATTCAATAATTTTGCCTTTACCCCTTTAGCAAAAAATTTCCATTTTAATTTTTTAAAGCTTCAAAATCAAAGGAATAAAAAAAACCAAAATTTGCTTTTCGTTAAAGCTTTATTTAATTGTGTGTAACCGGACTAAGATAAGATAAAAAACAAAAATCGTTATCAACCCAGATATCGATCTCTATACCGCCCTCAAGTCCTGTCTCTAGTTCAACCCCTTTCTGTGTAATTATAGCTTATTGAAAATTCAAAAAAAAACTATACTTGTTAAAATTACAGGCCCTCTGTAGCTGTATAGACTGAGAACACTTCTGAAACCATCTAATTTCCACTCAGTCTTGCAGGTAATTGTATTAATCTTTAAAAAATCATTTTTTAATTAGTAAAAAATATTACTCCAAATCCCCTTTGAATTTTGACTTATTTATTGGAATTATTCAGTCCTAGTTTTTATTTCACAGCTTTTTTATGGTCAACTTAACACCAGCTAGTTTTGATCGACTCTAACTTTTTCATGCTTGATCAAATCAAAGTGAAAATATTTTTAGAAAGTCCCCGATAGGTGGAATCCTTCTCAAACAGGACAGATCTAATGTGATAATTTTTTTCATAATTTCGAGTCTGATGGAAAAAATATTCCTAATTTTTTTCGAAAAGATATAAAATAAAAAGGATTGGATTAAGTTAAAAAATCATAGTTGATTAAAGTTGGCTGGCGGTCAGTTGGTCAAGGCTATAAAATTTATTAGTGTGGCAGATTTGTATTCTTTGGAAATACAAATTCTAAAAAAATTTTTTAATATTTTTAAATTTTATATGTATTTTTTAACTAGCTTCAATGTTGAGTATAACCCTACTACGACTTAATGATCCTGTCACAAAAATATTTACTAGATCAAAATTTCACCCCATTTTTCTCTTTACTAATGAAATAAACACAAACTTTGTAATTAAATTTATTTTTTAAAGCTTCAGAATCGTAATCATCCAAAAAACATTTGGCAGAATTAAATTTTATAAAACTGTAAAATTTCACAAAAATTTTATATTTTTAATTTAAGTATAGACCTGAATATTTTTGAGAAAATTTCTTTTGGAGATTTATCGAGAAAGAAGGAACAAACCAAAAACTTTAATTTTAAAATTAAAAATTAAAAAATAAATTAAAAATTTACAATTAAAGCTATAAACTCCAAAATTAATAAAATCATTTGAAACATATTTAATTTGTTATTTGAGTATTTATTTAAGTAATAATTTAAGTTCATAAAAACTCTAAATAAATTAAAAAAAAGTTTTTTTCTGAGTTTTAATTAGTGTCAGGTAAATGATTTTTCCGGTGCTGTCAGGTATTTCTGAGCAGTGATGGGCAAAGTTCAAGTTCCAGTTCAGGAACTGATTAGTTCTGGTTCCAGAACTAGAACTACGGAACTAGTAAATGCCTGGAACTAGTTCTGGAACTGGAACTACTAAAATTAAAAACCTATTTCTGGAACTAGAACTAGTTCCAGAGAAATTTTGGAACTTTCCCATCACTGATTCTGAGAGTATTAGAGAATGCGAACGATGTTGAACACAGCTTTTTTTAACTAGGACCTATTGGAAAATGACAAAAAAATTTTTTACGAAAATCTGGAAATGGAAATATAGAATTAAAGAAAACTTTTTTGATTTACCAAATCAAGAAAACGATTTTGGATTTACATACATATTACTCTATTTATAATTAGTTTTTTTTGTTTATTATAAATAATAGGCTCAGAATGTTGCAAAAAAATTTTTACTGAAAAATTCTCCAAATGGAAACATAAAATGAACTAAATAGAAGCTATTATTCATATGCCAAGTAAACACACATAGGAAAAGTATAGGGAAAAATCAATTTTGTGGCATGTGTTTGTTAGCCTATGACGTACCTATATGACGTATGTATCAGGGCTGGGCGTAATGAAAAAATAAAAAGTGAAATGCGAAATGCGAAACTTTTCGCGTCAAAAAATGCGAGAATGCGAAAGATGCGAAACGCGAAATTGCGAAATTTGTTCAGAAAAATCGCAAAATAAAAAGCGAAATGCGAAATACGAAACTTTTCGCGCTAAAAAATGCGAGAATGCGAAAGATGCGAAACGCGAAAGTGCGAAATAAGCCCAGCCCTGGTATGTATGTATGTACTTACTAAATGTCCAAAAAATATAAATGAAAAATTTTAAAAATACATGAAATATTGAAAAAAAAGATAACATAAACCCTATTGAATCTGCCGGTTTTATTATTTCAATAAATATTCATAAAAATTTCTCAAGTTATGCAGAAATAAGTTTTTTGTCCGTTTAACCAATCAAATTTATAAAAAAATTAACATGGAAAATTTTACTTAAATTCATTGGCAAAACTTTAGTACATACATATAGGCCAGGCGAGATCGAAACTCGAATTATATGTATATCATTCGATTCCTCATGCCAAGCTGAATTTAAATATGTAAAAAATTTTTTGCGGGAGTTGAAAAAATTTTTGAGTCGTTGAGTCGAGCTGAGTCGTTTTTTTCGAGTTTTCGACTCTCAGAAAAGAGGATTGCATATTAAGGTTGGCGGATAGTTGGAAATCTTCGGATATCCGGATCCGGATCCGGTATCCGAACCGAAATTTTCGGATATCCGGATCCGGATCCGATATCCGAACCGAAAATTTCGGATATCCGGATCCGGAACCGATATCCGAACCGAAATTTTCGGATATCCGGATCCGGAACCGAAATTTTTATTTTCAATATTTTCGCCTGCGGCGCTGTAAAATTGAGTCCCAATGAACGATATAGAGGTTAAGAGCTGGGGTTGGGAATTACGAGAGATATAGAGGCACTTATTGATTAATTTCCTATATCCGCTCTAATCCCATCATTCCTGATCCCTCTATATGACATGCATATACATCAACATTTCATTAAAGTTGTAAACCCGCATGTGATTTTTACAACTCTTTCCCTTTTAGCGCCGCAGGCGGAAATTTTCTGAATTTTGGAGGTCAAGAAGCCAGATTTCTTCAATTTTTAGCGCCGCAGGCGAAAATTTTGAAATTTTGGGAGGCTCTTAAGACAAAAATTTTTAATTTTAAGCGCCGCAGGCAAAAATTTTGGGAAATTTGAAAGATCAATGGACTAGATTTCTTCCATTTTTCCCTAATTCTAGGATCCGAACCGAAGATTTCGGATATCCGGATCCGGATCCGATATCCGAACCGAAATTTTCGGATATCCGGATCCGGATCCGATATCCGAACCGAAATTTTCGGATATCCGGATCCGGATCCGATATCCGAACCGAAAATTTCGGATATCCGGATCCGGTATCCGAACCGAAAATTTCCGGATATCCGGCCTTTTTTCGGATCCGGATATCCGGATCCGCCAACCTTATTGCATATTCGAACTTAACTTGGCGAGAGGAATTGAATGGTATATATTTTTAATTTAATAATTTATCGTCACGATAATTTAAAAAATTAAATAATAATTTATTTTATTAATCACAATTTTCTTTAAATTAGAACAAAATTTCTTATAAAAAAATTTTAATCAAAAATGACAGATTTCAAAAATCGAATAGCCAACTGTGGGTATTTATTTTCAACTCCTTTCCATATTTCGCTAATTAAGAAACGATCTTTGTTGATACGAACATAAATTTTACATCCCTATAAATTAATTTAAAAATAAAATTTTTTAAACTTAATTTATTATACCTTCTCTAAAGTTTTAGCGTCGTATAAATCAATAATATCACAATATTTTAAAAACTTTTCGTCATCTAAATATGTAAATATAGGGATTTTTGCTAATGGTTTATTAATAAAATGAAGCTGAATAGGAAAATAAATTTGGATTGTAAAAATAGGTTTGTAGATTTGTAGCGTTGTGTGTACATAAAAGTAGAAGTCACAAAAATCTTTATAGGGTTAGAAAGTTCCCAAAATTTTTGCCTGCGGCGTTGAAAAGGGTTAATACCGTTATTTTCATCACAGTAGCATTACCACCACAAAAATTATTCCTACCCCGTCACCATTAATAAAAATTTCAATTTGGAATCCGGATATTCAGGGATTTTCCAAAATTCGCCAACCCTATTCACAACTAACAAAGGGAGTAGTCTAGAGTTCAAAAAATAGAAAATCAAAGTTTTTCTGATATCCTTCTAATCTTCTGATGCCGATTTAGGGGTTAAGAGAGTTATATGGGGATTTAGAAAATTTGTTCACAGCTTTGAAATTAGTTGATCTCTTACTGAATTCTCCTCATAGCGGAAGGACTGAAAAATTTCGCCTTTCGCTTCTTAAAATCACTTTCGGAACACCCCTGGTACTTAACGCCAGAGTATGGCTAGTGACCTACAGCAATTTGGTTCAAACAAGAGATCCCATCTTTAATCCAATTTTTAATTCCAATTTTTACAATCTTAATTTATTTTACTAATTTAAGCTTTTTTCTTCACATATAAAATTCTTTTCCTTACCAATCAAGTCACACATAAAAAGTTCGCATTCATATTTTAACGGTTCCACTTGATATTTGTGAGCAATAGCAAAAATATCCTCAACATGATTTTCTAATGTGCCTTTTATATCATATTTAAAAGTAAAGAATATTTTCGAATGAAAAACTTTTTTTTATTTTGCCATAATAAAAGAACTCTAACATTGCATTAACACATTCTGGGCCAAAATCAGAAATTATAACCTCACCCTGAAATTGAATAAATTGTTAGTTTCATTCAAAACTTATGAAATCTAGTTTATTTTTAAAATAACTTCTCCTATTTTAAATTAAAAGCTTTTTTCGTGATTACATTTTGCGCTTCAACCATTCCATTGTGCTCGAACATTTTTTGAAATACTTTACTATTACTTCCCAAAATACAACGATGTGTTTTTATAGAATCTTCACCAATCTTAAAAAAATAAAAAATATTTTTATATTTTTATTAAAATCTTCTTCCACCTTAATAACACAATCTGTAAATATTTCTCCTTCCAACATATTGTTATAAATACTAATTTTAAAGTTATCAATAGAATAACAGTCAGCTTCAACATTACAATGCAAATAGATGCCACCTAAAATTGCATTTAAACGTTCCCTAGTTTTGACATACCATCAGAACTAGTATTTAAATTAGACCACGTATCTGTAAAATATCCTAATTTTTCTTGATTTTCTAATTTATGTGTTGAGCTTAATTATAAAAAAGGCTTTTTTGTATAAGTAATGGAAACCTTTTTATCTCTTTATTCGCCCCGTTTTGTTTGGCATAAATTCTGTACTGAGTATTCACGAGATTATTTGTGCTATTCGGTCCAATTTGACGAAGCCAGATAGCGTAAGAATGATAGTAGTCATGACTGTTTAGTTACTCATTTAATCGCAAGACAAATAGATCAGGTTATACATATGTAAAGTCCGCCACTTTAGGCAAAAAATTGAAAAATAAGTCCCTACTTTAGATTTTTTAAGTGAGATTTAAAAAATCCGAAAAAGGCCAAAATGGGTTCGAAGTTTGACTAAATAATCGACACCCGTCTTGCGAATAGATGAATGATGTACCGAAATGTAAGAATTTACCGAATACGACCTACAAAATTATTAAACGAAATTTTAAAAAGAAAGAACACCTAGCTCTGGTTTTTGTTTAATACAATTTTGGGTTCCGACCAGGGGTGGGCGCATTGCGTTTTGCGTTATTTGCGTTAAATTTTGGCCTTTTTTTGCGTTTTGAGTTTTTTTCGATGAAATTAACGCAAAAAATATACCCAATCTGAGGACAAAATGGGAGAAATCTGGCTTCTTGGCCTTCCAAAATTCTCAAAATTTTCGCCTGCGGCGCTAAAAAAAGAAGAAATTCGGCCTTCTGGCCTTCCAAAATTCTCAAAATTTTCGCCTGCGGCGCTGGAAATGCAAGAGGGATAAAGTGACTAACAAATAAGTGGAAATTATCGGCGGAATTGAAGGGATAGAAAACTATCGGTCGATGGGATTAAGTTGGATTTAAAAAGATATCTGGGGTTTGTAGTGATATCCTGCTATATCTCTTCAACCCCTGATACCTACTATATGCTCAAATCCCTATTATCCTTCTAATCTAAGGACAAAAAGAAATCTAGCTTCTGGCTTTCCAAAATTCTCAAAATTTTTTCTGCGGCGCTATAATTAGGGTATTTAAATATTAATTTTACATCAAGGAACGGCTCAGAAAAATATCGGTTCAGTATCTGGAGCTCAGATCTCAAGTTATCCTCCAAATCAACTCATATCCCCGGAGTCAATTTATAAATACTGATAGCCTTTTATCCTCCGTTATCTTCCTAACGAACCCGACATCCTTAGTAATCCCATGGTATCTTTTTAAATCTCCTTGATCGCTCCAGATTACATGATAATCTCCGTAATCCCCCGCCACTTCGTCAAACCCTTTGATCCCTTTAAATCCTCTGATATCCTTCATAATCCCTCTAAATCCTCTATATCTTTTCAAAACATTACTCATCAAACTTACATGTATCACAAAATCAATAAGGACTTGCTGCCTTATAGTAATACACTTATTTTTAACTGAAAAATGTCTAAAACTTAATTTAAAAATTTTTTTCCCTATTTTGCGTTCTTGCGTTTTGCGTCTTGCGTTATTTGCGTTAAATTTTGTCCTTGCGTTGCGTTTTGCGTCTTGCGTTTTTTGAGATTGTCTCTTGCGCCCACCCCTGGTTCCGACAGTTTCCTAATAATCAACTTTGCTTAAGCAATTATAAAACAGGTTAACAATAAGCTTTTTCTGGTGTTAGCTAAGATTATAAGTTTATACCTTTTTTTTATCTCAAAGCATAATTCCCATTCTATCGCCGGATATTCGGGATTTAAAAATCGATCACCTAAAAACCCTTTAAAAATTAAGCCATCATAAATACTACTAGTTAAATTCAGTTTATCATTGTGTCCAACAAGTTCAATCATCCTAATCACATTTTTGATTGTCCATTCTTTATTGCATTTAATTGTATTCATTTAAATAAAATTATTTCCCCGAAACAAAAGAGTCGCAATCAGAAAAGCTCAAGACATCTTTAAAACAAAAAGTGGCTCCATATTTTTTATGCAAATTACCTATGTTAAAATGTTAATATATCATACATAAAATGCAATTTTTTAAAGTCAAAAATACAAAAAGAAAATATTCATTTTTAAAATAAAATTGATGAAAGCACTGAATAAATGTTGAAAGAGGAACAAAATTTTTAAGTTGGTAAATTATGTGCTGGCAGTATTTTTATTTTAGATTTTAGGTTTGAGAATAATAATATAAAAATACGGAAAATATACAAATTGTATATAATAGGAATAAAATAAAAAAATAATTTGTAATACAATCAAAACTTGAATAAAATACAAATTGTAATTCTAATTTCAATTTTTACAATTTTATTTTCAAGTTACTCGGAAATTCTGTTTCTTAAAATTTACAAATTGTAATTTTAAAGTTTTTCGAATTTTCTGATTACTTGAAAATATATAACTGTATTAATATTAAAATACAATTCCAAGATTAAAAAAAGACATTATTTTAAAAAATATTTATTGCCAAGCATTAGGACTCGGTGGCAGTTCAGATGGCTGGGCAACTGTTGAACTTTAAATTAAATAAATTAATTATTTAAATTTAATTATTTAAAAAAATATTTTTATTTAAATTTAATTACTAATTACCTAACTAATATAGAAATTTACCTTACAAATTCGCCATAACTGGCAGCATTAGTATTTATACAAAGAGGAATGCCATAAAGGGGATTACGCTGAAAAATAAACTTGAAATGTTGAGTTAATTAAAAGGTGGAGAAATTAAAAAATTAAAATCAGAATTACAAATTGCAAAAATAATTGTAAAACTTAAAATCAGAATTTTACAATTTGTAAATTTCAAAATTACAATTTGTAAAAATAAAACTTAAAAATTGATATCAGAATTATGTCTTGAGAAAATAAACTTGAAATAAAATCAGAATTACAAATTGCGAAATTGTAGTTAAAAATGAATCACAATTCTGATTTGCAGAACTGCAGAATTACAGTGAAATAATTAAAATAAACTTGAAAATTAAAATCAGAATTACAAAAAATTTACAAACTTAAAAATTGTCTACCTTTGTAATATAATCATAAAGAATTTCTCTAAATTGGAACATCGATTTTAAAGACATTTCCTTTTCCCACTGGGCATCAAAGGGATTAGAATGCTTTAATTAATAGTTATTAAAACAAACAAAAAATTTTAAATTTACCACAGGATCAAGTTCTAAGCAAAAGACACGTTCTCTCCTTCCATGAAAACTTTAAAAAAATATTTAGAGGGGGGAGAAAATTAATAAAATTTACGTAATTGAGTGACAACAGGAACACATACACTAAATATTGAGATAAAAAAAATTTTTTTAGATAAGGGAAATAAAATATTTTGTATGATATCAGTATTACCGAAATTGTGTAAATAAAGTGATAATTTAATAAAAATATTTTTTACTAAAAAAATATTTACTGAATGAAAACGCATTCTTCCATCTTCCAAAAATGTGTGTTTCAAAGCATTGTCTATAGTTATTCTTTTTTCCTTTAAAAAATATTCCTTTTCGGAAAAAATATTTTTAAATTTAATTACAGGATCAAATTTAAGCATTTCTAAAAGCAGAGGAATACTTTCTTGATTTTGTGGGTGTGTAATTAGTGAATAGAAGCGGTGGATGGAAGGTGAACGGTGAGGCGATTTTAATACCTAAAATAAATTTTTTTTATTTTCAAATTTAAAAAGTTGAGAAAAATATTTTAAAAAATCCCCCAGAAAATATCTCAAAAAGACAATTACATGTTTTAAAGCCCCGTCACAACAACCACGCATTTCTTCGTTTTTTGGTGTTCCCAATAAGTCAATAATCTGTTAAATATTTTAAAGTTAATAAGCAATTTGTTTGAATTTTTATTGAAAGAGGAATAAAAATTGAAAAGAAAATAAAAAAATAAATTTACCATATTAAGTTGTTCTATTGGTCCTTGTGCTGAAAAATAAAAATATTTTTAAAAAAATTAAACAAGTTAAAAATATTTTTATTAAAAAATTTTTTCTGATTAAAAATTATTATAAAAAATATTTAAAAATTTTTTAACCTTGAAAAAGTATTCTTCGACTCATTAATTCTGCAAAAATGCACCCAACAGACCAGACATCTTAATTCAAGTTTATTTTAAAATTCTGGTTTTTCTAATTTTATTTTTTTACAAATTAAAAATTTGAGTAAAAAAGAGATTAAAATTTAAATATCGCAAAATTTTTTTGGAAAAATTGCTTCTTTTTTAAGGGGTTTTTAAAAATTGTGTTTAATTGAAGCTATTTAAAATTATTACCTACAGCTGTTGTATACCTTAATAAAATAAATTTAAAAAATTAAATTTATTCAAAAACAAACCTTCTACAGCCCATAAGCAGTTCGGGTGCTCTTGAAAAAATAAAATTTATTTAAAAAAAAATTTTTTTTGCTTAAAAAATAATATAAAATAAAATTACTAAAAATTAAGATAAAAATATTTTTTTAATTTTTACCTGTAATATTGAGTAACAACCTGAAAATTAAAAAATTTGCTACAAAAATATTTTTAATAAAATCTTTAATTTAATTAAATTTATTTTATTATTTTATTAACTTCGTGTGTCATGTTCATAGAATTTTTGCGTTCCCATATTCGAGCTAGGCCAAAATCACAAATTTTAAGCATACAATTGGAATTGACCTTTAAAAATTAATGGTTATAAAAGTTTACGATTATTTACAAATTGAAAAAATAAACTTAAAATTAAGTATCAGAATTAATTACCAGAATTATATAATTATTTAAGAAACTAAACTTGAATTCAAAATCAGAATTACAAATTGAGAGAATAATTGTAAAACTTAAAATCAGAATTTCGCAATTTGTAAAAATAAACTTAAAATCTAATTATC